CAATACATTCTTCACCGAACTGGAGAAAGCAATCCTAAAATAAATATGGAATCAGAAAAGACCCAGAATAACAAAAGCAATCTTGGGTATAAAAGAGCAAGCAGGAGGCATCACAATCCCACACTTGAAGTTATATTAAAGCTACTGTGATAAATACAGCATGGTACTGGCACAAAGATAGTCAAGAGGATGAATCAAGGAATAGAATCAAGGATGAGGAAACAACCCTAAGTACACTGAACTATTTAATCTTTGACAGAACAGCCAAAAACACACAGTGGAGGAAAGATAGTCTCTTTAATAAATGGTGTTGGGAAAACTAGCCATCCACATGCAGAGGGATGAATCTAGGCCTGTATTTCTCACCATGTACTAAATTAAAATCAAAATTGATAAAAAAGATGTATGTTAAACCAGAAACAATCTGCTGGAAGACAAGATAGGTAAAACTCTTGAAGTCATAGGTGTAGTCAAGGCAAGGATTTTCGGAAGAGAACCCAGTTGCACAGGAAATAGTACCAAGAATCAACAAATAGGATCATATCAAACTAAAAAGCTTTTCCTCAGCAAAAGAAACAACGGACAGGAAACAACAATGTACAAAATGTGCAAAAAAATTTTTTTGCTAGTAATTCCTCAGACAGAGGACTTATATCTAGAATATATAAAAAACTCAGAAATATTAGGGCCCCTCAAAATAAAAGACCCAATCAAAAGATGCAAGTGGGGCCGGGGATTTAGCTCAGTGGTTCCGGCGCCTGCCTTGCAAGTGCAAGGTCCCAAGTTTGATCCCCAGTACAGAAAAACAACAAAAAAAGGGGAAGTGAAATGAACAGACATTTCACACAGGAAGTACAAATGGCCAATAAATACATGAAGAAATGCTCAACACTGCTGGCCATTAGAGAAATGCAAATTAAAACAACACTGAGATCCCATCTTACCCCACAAAGAATGGCTATCATCAAGAAATCAAATAATAACAAATGGTGGAGAGGCTGTGGGAAAAAGGAACCCACCTACATTGTTGGTGGGAATGTAAACTAGTACAACCACTGTGGAAATCAGTATGGAGAATCCTCAAAAAAAACTAAAACCAGAAATTCCATTTGACCCAGTTATTCTTCTTCCAGGTATCTTCTAAAAGAGTTAAAAGACATCATATTTTAGAGATATATGTATATCCATGTTTATAGCAGCACAATTCATAATAGCTACATCTTGGATGCAGCCCATATATCCATCAACAGATGAATGGATAAAGAAAATGTGGTGTTTACATAAGATGGAGTATTACTCTGCCATAAAGGATAGACTTGAATCATTTGTAGGAAAATGGATGAACCTTGAGACCATAATGTTAAGTGAAATAAATCAGACACACAAGCTTAAATATTACATTGTTTCTTTTATATGGAAACCCAGAGCAAAAATAGCAAAATGAAACATAGATATAGGAAGTAGGGAACAATAGGAAGTATTGTTCTCAGCAGGGAAGAGAATCAAGGGATGGAAGGAGGGAAGGGGTAAGGGATGAAAAAAAGGAATTGAGATGTGTTAAATACATGTACCAACTGCACACAAGGAATGTAAACATCATGTACTGTACAGCAGGCAGCGAAACCACTGAGCTAAATCCCCGGCAACATCATATACTGTAAACATACCCCCCCCAAAAAAAACCAAAACAGGGATCAAGGGTTGGGGCAATGGGGAGGGGAAAATGGAAAGAGGATGAAAAAAAGGAATTAACATGTGTTATATACATGTACCAACTTTCCAGAAGGAATGTAAACATGCACTACACACGTGCCATACTAATAAAATAAAATAATAAAAAAATTAAAAAAGAATTTCTTTGAGAAAATTGTAATCATTATTTCATGGTCTTTCAGTATTTAATTTTATATAGAGGTATCTGAGGCAAGGCTGATTTATTTTTCTGTCTTGTGACTTAGTTTTTAAAAACTGGGACACAGGGCCAGGGATTTAGCTCAGTGGTTCCGCCGCCTGTTTCGAAAGTACAAGGTCCCGAGTTCAAACCCCGGTACCAAAAAAACCCCAAAAAACCAATAAACAAAAAAATATAAAAACTGGGACATAATAAAATCAAAATAAACCTTTATTCACCTTTGAATTCCAGGAAATGCACAATACATACCTGGGGTCAATTATTATCAGTATTTTCTGGATATATGTGACTTCTAACCTTTGATATTTAGGTCTTCTTTTATTTCAAAAGAAGCTTTTCTACTATCTTTGAGTATAATATCTATATCTCTATATATTCCATTTGCTCAGTGACTAACACATACACGTTAGATCTCTTATATTTTCCTCACATATACTAATTTTGTCTACTTCTTTTTCTCTGATTATATTATACTTGATCTCTTTTCTTCCCTTTTTACTTCCTTCAATCGGTCTGGCCATCTGTTTGTCCCCTCCCTTTGCCATTTTAAGACAGTTTCACTATCTAGTTCAGGATGGCCTCAGTCTCTCCACACTGCCCATAACCTCAAGCTCATGATCCTCCTCTTGAATGCTGGGATAACAGGCATGTTCCACCACAACCGGCTTTTAGTTGATGTTTCAAAGCCATTTTCTTTGCCCCTATTTTTTTGGGAGGGTGAATGGAAGAAATATGCATCTAAAATGATTTAAATATTAAAATGATTTTAATACTTTCATGACCTCTCTCTCTCTCTCTCTACAAACACACACACACATACACACACACAAACAAAAATTCTTTTGCAATACTGGGAATCAAATGCAGAGGTGCTCTACCACTGAGCTATATCCCATCCCTTTTTAAAATTTTATTATGAGATAGGGTCTTACTGAGTTGCCCAGGGTAGGCTTGAACTTGAAATCTTCCTGTTTCAGGTTCCCAGGTAGCTCTGTAGTAGTTTTATTCTTTCAACTGATACTTGGATTCTCTCCAATTTTTTGCTATTATAAATGTCTATACATGTTCTGGCAATGTTTTATAAAATTAATAAACTAACTTTCAAAAAGTCTTTCATGTCTTAACAAAAAATCTTAAATCATGCTATGAATCCACTTTCCTGTCTTCTCTTGTGATAAGGTCACACTTAAGATATTTAATACCTGATGAATGATTTAAGGGTTTTTATAAAGATGAAACTCCAGTTTTGTAGCTAAATTAAGTTACTCTTCAGATTACAAAAAGTGCTAGTATAGTGTCCTCAAAAAGGCATTGAAGCTAGGCATGGTGGCCCACACCTGTGATTCTAAGTACTTGGGAGGCTGAGGAAGGAGGAGCTCCTGAGTTTGGGGCCAGCCTAGGGTACAAGGTGAGTTCAAAGGCAGCCTAGAATAAATAGTAAGACCCTATCTCAAAAAAAAAAAATTCAGACGTGTACAATCTTTGTGCAAGACTACTGCACATTACCCATTAGGCTTGATATCTTCTATTTATCCCTCTAGATCTACTCTTCCCCTTTTTGTCCTGTGCCCTTGGGAGGTGATCTGAATGGATACATCAGGGGTTTTCCTTGATTTCTAGTTTCTGGATGGAGGCCAACAGGAGCCATCAGATGGCTACTAAAAGATATGAAGAGAATGAAGTGTGGCATTTTCACTAGCAACTCCCTCGGGTGGGTTGCTCCAGATTAGCAAAATCACATTGTCAGTGAACATCACAGGTTCTACCAGGTACCCCTTTCTACACAGCTACTGTCTTTGGGTTCTGCTGATGGTTTCATCTTCTTGTCCTACTAGGCCTAGGCATGGAAATAACACCCCACTGTTGTTGTTTTGGGTGTCTGTGTCATTGTTTTTTTTTGGAACTGGGGATCGAACTTGGGTCCTTGCGCTTGCGCAGCAGGCGGCGAAACCACTGAGCTAAATCCCCGGCCCTGTGTCATTGTTTTGTTTCTCTGAAACTTTCTTCAAGTCTTTGCAAACTCTTTATAGATACCTAGTTTGAGGTTGCTTACCTGTTTGCTACAGTTCCAGGGATTTGTCCTACATATGTATATAATGACATGTATACAGGATGATTTGTTGTAACAGTATAATTTCTAATATATATGAAATGTTGGAAATATAATGTCAACAGGGGGCTGTAAAATAACAGTATGACTATATAGTAGAATATTACACAGCTATAAAAAATGAATCATTAGATACATCTATGGGATAATCGCAAGTATATTATTAAGCAGAAAAAGCAAGGTACCAAACGATGAAATACTGTGTGCTCCATTTGAGTGAAAAAAAATAAATGTATATGCATTTGCATACACAGAGAGAGGGAGTCTTTGGAAAGGCACACAAGAAAATAATATAGGCTGCTCCTGGGGAAAACTAAGTAGTAGTACACTTTCTATTATTTACTCTTTTATTTTTCTGGGTTACATCAATGTATTACATCCATGGTACAGGGTTAACTGACAATCTTAGAGAAACAAGGACTAAGGAAGAATTAGTGGAATCACTAAAGGAATCACTAGAAAATGATGGAAAAAGCCAGCAAATATTAAAACTGCAGAAAAGTGCCAACTAGTGAAATTCTTGCATATTTTAATTTCTTAACATGATCTGTTTATGGAGTTTTTTCCTACTAGTATAAATTACACAGTTACTTCTTATTCAGGATTGCATACACAAAACCTTACATGATAAAAATTTATTTTAAACATGATCACTTTATTACTGAGAGGTGCTTCAGTTCCTTCATCTAGAGGGTTTACTGATATCACTAAAGTAGCAGTATGACTGCCCCTGATTTTGGTTTCCATAAAGACGTGACTTATTAAAGAAAATGGGACATGAGAAGACTGTCAGGAAATCTGTGAAGAAGGTGGGAGAAAACCGCTAGAAACACTCATTTAATGAACAGTTAAATCAGTCATTTTTATGCTATTCAAAAGTGGAAAACATAGAAAGGCATTTTTTTAAAGCTGGTTTTCATACTCCTGACATGGGCACACCTGTTAAAAAGTTCTACAAGACATAGGACATTCACTCACCCTTCCTGGAGCTGTGCTTGGGCAGATTCCTCTGCAACAAGAGTCTCGTACTCCTCCGAAGCAAACCTGTCCCAGTCTGAAGGCTCAGGCCCATCGTTCTCAACATCCTGATTAGAAAGAGGAAAGCCACAGGAAACAAATCAGCAAAGACAAAAAACTGGAGTAGGTCATCACAAACATACATTCCTGATAAAACCTACTGAAAAGTGTTTCAACATATTAAAAGAGCTGCTAAGGTACACTCCTATGGGTGACTTCCTACAGTTCATATAAGCTTAAAAGTGTTTTGTAGCTAGATTTTTTTGTATGTCCGGAGTCTTTTTTTTGTATTGGGGATCAAATCCCGAGGTTCTTTACCAATGAGCTATAGTCCTAGCCCCCTTTTTAATTTTTATTTTTAAATTGTGAGACAAGGGCTTGCTAAGTTGTCCAGGCCAGACTTCAACTTGTGATCCTCCTGCCTCAGCTTCCTAAAATGCTGGGATTGTGCACCACTGCACTTGGCTTTATGTCTAGAGGGTTTTTTTTTTCTTTTGGACCTGAGGATTCAATTTATTTATGGTCTTCTCACTGAGCTACATCACCAGCTCCCTTTTAAATTCCGGGAAAGGGTCTCACTAACTTGCTGAATTGCCTTGTTTGTCTTGAATTTGTAATCTTCCTCCTAGACAGCTGGGATTATGGGTGTGCACCACCATGCCCAGCCTATATCTAGATTCTTTAGCCTTGTAACCAGAGACTATCCCAGTTCCTTCTCCCCAGCACTTTGTAAAGCCTCTATCTGGAGTGACTGTGGTCTGTAAATGCCCACTCAAAATGTCCCATCTTTTTCTCTAGCAAATTTGAACCTTTTCTTTAAAAGCCACCTCAGATACCATATCACCTGTCATATCTTCCTGGAAACAGCCTTTTTCTCCTCAAATCACTTCTTTCTCTCCTCAAATCACTTCTTTCTCTCTATATGCTTTGGTTGTTACCTTTAGCTCTTCTGTCTTTGTCATTTCCATATACTCAGTATCTCTTCAACATAGTGCTGAGAATTTATTGAGCACTTTCTGACTAATAAATATTTTTTGCATATCTGAGCAAATATAGATAATTGCTACCTCATATAAAGTAAAAGTTAAAACAAAATATAACACAAAAATATCCCCGGTACCAAAATAAATAAATAAATAAATGAAGGGTATAAAGGCTATATATTTCATTCCTTTCAACATATGGGCAGTGTCTTGGATTAAATGTTCTAGGCAAAATGTCTTTCCAAGTTGAGAATGAGTAAGTATTCCCCTAGGGCTTAGGACCAGTTATGCCTAGAAGAACAGAAGTACCAAATCATTGGCCACACAATGGTTTCTTACTATATTTAATCAATTTTAAGACCCTCTCCACCTCCCCTTTAAATATGCCTGAAATTGCCATGTATTTCAGACTTACAATTGGCAGGGATGCATATCTATCTATCCATCTTTTTTTTTTTGGACCGGGGATCAAACTCAGGACCTAGCTCTTGAGGCAGGAGCCAGCACCACTGAGCTAAATCCCTGGCCCTTCTATCTTCTTTTTGGCTTTAGAGATATATAAAATAATGGAGCTTGTTGCATTCAAGGAAATTTAGGTGGGTGCATGCCTGTAATCCCAGCACTCAGGAGGCTGAGGAAGGAAGATCATTATGAGTTTGAGAGCAGTCTGGGCTACATATTTAGTTCAAGGCCAGTCTGAACTACATGGAGAAACTATATAAAAAAATCAAAAATTTTTTCAATGAAATATAATGTTGACTTTAGCTGGCAATAAGGCACCTTGAAATTCTCTGAGGTCAGCTGCAGAGCACTTGTTCTTACGAAGTTATCTTCATATTCTTACTGTTATTTAGGTCAAACTATGATGCAACACATGGAGGAAAAAGACAAAACTGCAAAAGCTTCTTGAAGTTGTACTGTCACTCAAGCAAAACAGTTCTATCCTAACAACATAATTTTTACTTTTTAAACAAGAATGGAAGGAGCAAGCAGAAATACTGTTTTTGGTTTGGACATGGATTAAAAAAAATTTTTTTTCCTCGGTACCACAGATTAAACTCAAGACCTTGCACTTATAGGCAGGTGTGGTGCCGCTGTGCTACATCTCTGGCCCCATTTTTAAAAAATTTTTTTGGTACCAGGGATCAAACTTGGGACCTTCTGCTTGCAAAGCAGGCAGCAGAACCACTGAGCTAAATCCCCGGCCCATCCAGCCCCATTTTTGTTTTTTTGAGACAAGGTCTTTCTATGTAATTCAGGCTGGCCTTGAACTCATGGTGATCCTTCTGCCTCAGCCTCCAGTGCACCACCATACACAGCTGGACATGGATTATATTTCCAGGGTTTACTGAGGGTCAACAGGTATTTTTTGCATGGGGAAGGGCACTTATCTCTATTCAGAAGTAGAACAATATGTAAAACCAAGACCCCTGCATGGCAATCATTAACTTCTGAAAAAGTGTTCTATTACCGAAGGTCTCTATCACAAAAGAGCTTTTGGTTTTTATTACAGAAAGCTATTTACTACAGAATCCTGAAAATGCATGGTACAATTGAGTCAAGACCAATATGGTTTCTAATACAGATGTGCCTACTGATATATTTTTAAAAAGATAAATTTTTGAGATGATGTATAGCACAGGTTGGCCTTAAACTCATGGGATCCTCCTGCCTCAGCCTCCCAAGTGCTGGGGATAACAGGTGTGGGCCACCACGCATAGTGAAAGACAAACTTTTTGAAATCAGTTTCTGATGTGTATGTAAGGACACAGTCTACATAGTTCACTCAACACAAAGTTCTCAGGATTATACAGATTATTTGAAGATTAGCTGTGGGGACAGACAAGCTCTCAATCTGTTACTCGCATTTCATTCATAGTCTGTTGGTCTCTTTCTCTCTGAATCAAACCTAGGGCTTTCCTACTTTATCCTCTTTTCAGTATGTGATGAAGTATTTTAAATGTTATCTCTTTACATACCAAGATTCCCAGAGAGCATTTTAATATGTGTCACCCAGCCCAATGTTACAGTTCTTAAAGTTAAACTTATTCTGGTACCTTCTGGACTGCAAAGGGATCTCTCTGTTCATGGTCCAAGTATTTTTCCAGATTAAAGAAAGTGTCATAGAAGATGTGAGCCATTCGGCACCTCTTCAGATCTCGTAGAGTTATTTTGCCTATATAAAAATAAATACACCTGATAAATTTTATTTAGAGCTGTTTTGGCAAGAGAAAAATACTTTCACTGGTGTCTAAAAATACATGAGTATCTTTATTAATAAGGGACCCACAGTAAAAATCAAGATAAAATTCACATAATATAAAATTCACCATTTCAAGCTACAATTCAGTGGTTTTTTAGTATGCTTGTTGATGTCATACAAACATTACTATGATCTAATTCCAAACATTATTACCCCCAAAGGAAGCTCTATATCCACCAACCAGTTCACCCCACCTCCCCTCAACAGCTCCTGGCACTCAGTAATCTGTTTTCTGTCTCTAAGGAAAAACCCAGTTCCTTCAACAGTAGATTTTCCACCACTGCTGGTTTTAAACCAATAGTAGAGAAGAAACACTTCTGTACTTGGAAAGCCAATAAGGAAAACTCCAGAAATTAAATAATACTGGGCAATCTAGGATTATGTGCCCTACTCTATTTCAAAGGTGAAAACTGCAAATTGCTGTTCACTTGTTCTCACCATCACAGGCTGGCTTCACCAGGTCAAGCATCTGGCAAAGCAGATCATGAAACGGCAAGGGCTCAATGCCCATGGCTTCCATCCGTTCACATTGCTCCTCATAGAAGTATTCCAGCTCATACATGGAGAGCACTCCATCTCCATCCACATCCATGCAGCGGAACCAGTACTCAATGCTAGAAGATAAGGGTGCTGGTAAAGATCCTTTATTCATCCAGATCTGTCACTGCCCATTTTTCTTTTAAAATTAATTTACATATATGTATACTTTGGGCTTAGACACAGTTTCACTCTTCTTCCTTTATTTTCCCATCCTAGAACCAACCACTTTCAACATCTGATTATTCTGCTTTTTCTCTAAATATTTTCAGGTAACACCCCTTATTTATTCTTTTTTTTTTAATTTCTAAGAACTCTGTACTGATTTCACCCTATGAAAGAATAGGTTTTAAGTCTTTTACTATTCCATCCACTTTATGGATGCTCTTCCCATCTTAATACAAACTGCTCAATGTTTAAATTTTATGACTTTACATTTTTTCTTTTAACTCTTCTTTGCTTAGTTTTTCATATACCTCTTGTACTCACTATTAATTCAACCACCAAATATCTGCAGTTGGTTAAGTCCACACAGTTCCATCAGGTATTCTAGTGACTGCATTTTCCTGATGAACTCCTCCTTGGTTTCCTCTGACCTGCTCTACTATGATCTGCTCAGGCTCTGTATGTCTGGTAAACAATTCCATCCTAGGGATCCCTTTCATCTTTCTCCTATTTCTTGTAAATCACATTTTCCATATTCTTTGTTGATGTGGCATACTCTACACATTCTGCTTCCTGAAAAGGGGAGCGTGGTGGGTAAATTTTTTGATCTGGGTTTTTTGACACAGGGTCTCATTATGTTGCTTAGCTGGCTCAAGTGATCTTCCTGCCCCAGCCTCCCAAAAGCTGAGACTATAGGTGTGTGATGCTGTACTTGGTTCGGGTCCTGGATACTTAAAAGTGCCTGAAAGGTGGGTGGTGCTTTTCCTTCATATATTTAAAGGCACTGAAACACAGTCTTCCTTTCTTCTATTATAGTTTTGATTTTGCAGAGTTCTTTTATTGGTTCCCTGAATGTTTCTTTTATTAAAAAACACCTTTCTGTTCATGTTCTATGCATGTAGTTTCCTGTTAGGGCTCAGAGGTAATTAACAGCATGTTTATTGTTGCTAAAGTTTTCTCTGAAAATCTGTTCCATCTTAGTTATCTTTGTTGCCCCCGCCCCCTTTTGATCTTTTTTCTATATGAGGCTCTACTCAGGTATTTAGTGAGCCTTTGTTCTCTGCTAATATTTAAGAGTTGGTACTAAAAAAGCTGCTTTGAAGTTTTGATCATGAGTTTGGTGACTTTGGGATTTATTGTGAAATGACCTAGCTGGGTTCCTTCCTTGGGAATGACTCAATGTCAAACTTTCAGGTCTTCATTCTTGAGCTAGTTGGATTTCTCTTTTATCTTTTTATAGTCCTTGCTGAGAGGTTCAGGACAGAGCAGGATTCTGTAACTTCAGTGAGGAATGAAGACTAGACATCTCAGCATTTCATATGTACTAATCTAACCTATTTTTAACATGGCATCTGTTATGGTTTGAGTGTGTTGTCCATGTCCCTGACTCCCACCAAGTTTTATGTGTTAAAGGCATGGTCCCCAATGTGGTGATGTTAAGAGGTAAGGCTTAGTGGGAGGTTGCTATGTCACTGGGGGCTCTGTTCTCAGAAAGAATAAGGTATTTCTCATGGGAATTTGGTTGTTACAGAACAACCCTCCCTGCCTGCTCTGTCTTTGTGTCTAACCATGTTGTTGCTCCCCACCCCCCTCTTGCAGTACTGGGGATTGGACCTAGGGCCTTTGCACTGAGCTACATCGCCAGTTTGTTTTTTATTTTAGACAGGGTCTTGTGAAGTCACTAAATTTCTCAGGCTGGACTCAAAATTGTGATCTTCCTGTCACAACTTCCTTGAGTCCTGGTGTTTGGCAGATCTTCTCATTTGGAATGGGAGCCTACTGCTGTGATCCATTTATCATGAGGTCTTCACCAGAGGTGAGCTACAGTAGCATCATGCCTTCAACCTCCAAAACTGTGAGCTAAATTAACCTCTTTTCTTTATAAATTTCCCACCCTCAAGTTTAGATTCAACATACAAGGGATTGCTATAGTATCCACATCTTCAGCTATACCAGTGCTCCCCAGTCTAGAGGCACTCTACTCTGTACTCTCCAGGGAATAAAGCACCACTTTTACGTCAGGGAGAGGACATGATCTGGAGATCAATTGTTTCTTCAAACAAAATTTCTATAAACTCTTTTTTTTGGCACTATCTTTACCCTTTCCCCATTTCTAAGGTTCATGAGGTTCCCCAAGTCCTGAATGTTTAGAGGTTTTGTTGAGTATATCTGGTTACTTGTGATTTTTCTGTCTGGCTGGCTTAGAATTCAGGCGTTCTGCTAAATTTATCTGCTTTCCAGGTTCCAAACCTTATCTCTTCACCTACTTCACTACTATGGGTTTATTCTATAGTAACAATTTTACTGGCATTTTAGTGGGGTTTCAAAGGAAGAAAAGTACTATGTATGGTTAAATTGTTATCTTCACTCGGAAATATAATCACTCCTTTTTATAGCTACTCTGTCATTATAGTACTGTTAGAGCATCATCTATAGTTATATAATCAACCACAGAATATGAAACCAAGAGTACTAACTGGTAACAGGGAATACTTTTTTTTTTTTTTAAAAAGTCACTATTTCATGGTACAGTGCAGTTCAAGAGAAGGATCAAGGATATCCTTGGCTCATTTCACATTTGTAGGTCTAAAACCATATTTAGAACCATAAAAGGTCTGAAACCATAGTAAGAACTAGCATACATTTTATAGTTTTGAAAAATCTTTTTGGGGAAAGAAGAGAACTAAATCATATGACTGTTAATTGTCTGCAAGTAAGTCACACTAAGATCTTTGTGTACTTTTTCTGAGAAAGATAAATTTTACATTATTATAACTTATAACATGTAATAACTGGAAAAATTCCTTTGAGGAATATGTTGTATACACTGTACCAAGTTGATGTTTAGGGTTATCATTAAAGAACAGAAACAACATTTATTGGATTTAATCAATATGAGGTAATAGTTGGGTCACAGTGAGTTCCAGTCATATTATATCTATTCCCAGAGTTATAAAAGGGGCAGAATGGGGCTGGGGATTTAGCTCAGTGGTTCTGCCACCTGCCTCGTAAGCGCAAGGTCCCGAGTTCGATCCCTGGTACTGGAAAAAAAGGTGGGGGCGGCAGAATGTTGCCTCATTTTGAAACAAGTCCTGACTATGTGAAAAAATTTGAAAAGACAGATCTTATAAGCTGATTAAATAAATGTGTTAGTATCTAGTGAGTCTCCTGGCATCTTCAAATTCCTTAACAAAACCAAAAGAAACAAAGCAAATCTTGATTTTGCAAGGACCTAACAGAACTGAAGTGTAAGGCAACTCATTTTAGTAAGAAATAGAAACTGAAGTACTTTAGCTACTTGTATTTTCAATTAAGAATGAAGATAAGCAAGTCTATCAATAAGTCAAACTAAAGCATACACTTCAGTTCTTCGAATAGCCCATAAGGGAGAAAGAAAGTTAGAATTCAAAGAGACAGACACACTGCCCTAATGTTTGCCAAAGGCACATGATAACAGCCTTTAAATATATGAAGAATGTGGTAGATGAATCACATACAATTTTGTGAGACTGAGAGAACATAAAGATCAGTGTATAAAAGAGAGGTGTTTCTAGGTGTAGATCTAGGAAAATGAAACAGGCTCCTTCAGTGGGTAGCTACTAGTCCCTGACAATTTAGAAGCATGGGCTGTTTGGAGAATTAAACACCTGTAGGACATATTTAGATGTATTTTTTGGGGGGTGGTTTGAGATAGGGTTTTGGTATTTAGGCTGGGCTTAAAATCACTATGTATCCCAGGCAGGCCTTGAACTCATGGTGATCCTCCTGCCTCAGCCTCCTCAAAGCTGGGATTACAAGTGTGCACCACTACACCTGGATGGAATTTTCTTATTGTATGTGATGGATACTCTCTAAAGTTTCTTCCAATGCAAGTTTTCTGTTTTTTTCCTTGGCAAAGATAACTTATCTTCTCAGAGTCTAAAAGTAGTGAGTATTCAGTAGAGGAAAATTAGAAAACAGTGTATGGTAGAAGGAATGATTATCCAGAGAGAATCAATGTTTAATTTTTGCTGTATTTATCATCAATTTTCAAAGGATAGTTTTATCAGTGGTAAATTGTATTTGTACAATTGTAGACACAAACAAGATTACCTCTTCCTCTTGTCCTTGGGCTAGATAAAATTAAATTGTGGACCAGTGATGTCTTTTTAGTATTTCAATTGGCATTTACTGTGAACCCTAGACATAAGAGAGTGATGATAAGTTTTTGTAGTTGTTTCTTCATGCTGTTTAAGCTGTAAGCACTGTCAATATGCTTGCAGGACAATAACATAGGCAGTTCAAGATTCAGATTGCTGGCACTTCTTGCATTCTTTAATACTATCAGGAGAATTTCAGGGAAAAGCCTAATAAATATTAGAAGAATTATGGCCAATCATGTGGATATAGAAGACAGCATCTGAGCAAATATGAAATACATTCTCTGTTGTTTAAGAAAAGGCCAAATAATTCCTCCCCAGAAGAATGAGAAAAACATATACAAGGCTTAGAACCCCAAATCACAAAGTGATTTATCCATGTCCAGAACTGAGTATCCAAGGTGGGCTTCAGAGTTACAGTGAATACTAAGACCATGAAAACAATGGTTCCGAAAGTCAAGTTTCCCTATGGAAACTTTCCATTTTCTTCTAGAGATGCAGTCTGAAAAAGAAAATAAGTCTCAAAGAAGAACACTGTCCCTTCAAAGGCAGACAGAAATGTCCAATATAAGAAGGGGCCCAACTGTAGCATGGCATTGCCAGAAATTTTCATATACAATCGAGGGTCTGAGGTCAGTGTGTCAATGTGAATGTGGTATTCCAGTAGACTGTAGGCCAAGATGGGCAGGGATATGAAGCAGATATTATACATTGTAAGATAAGCAGCATCATACAGTGACTGTTGTGAGAATCCAAAGAACTGATACAAAAAC